AAGTATTACCCCTCGAGGGTGCCTTAAAAGTTTAGTTTCCACTTTAAACCCCCTGTTTTCCCTACCCTCGAGGGGTAATACTTACGCCTGCGACGTAGTAGCTAGCTAATGTAGCTAGCTAGCTTTGGACGACGGGATCCACCAAAAACCAAAAACAAGATATTCTGCTGATCTAAGATAAGCCAAGGCCAAGACGCGGCAGTGCCAGGATTCTTTTCTCTACTGTACTTACTGTAATGTTGTTTTTGTGTAAGCTGAATGTGGATCCCGTAAACTGTTAGAGATGCGGTCACCTGACGAAAGGCCGTGACGTTGATTGGGTGCATCCATTTGAGCTTGGGCCATCGAAGAACATCAAAAACTTGACTAATCGCTTATTAATAAGAAAATAAGGAATCTAGCCGGTTTGATAGGCTAGATTTGCACTCTTGCAATCGAAATCCACTTTTTGCGGTTATATCTTACGATTATAGACTCTTTTCCTTTCGAATACTTGATGAGTAGCTAGTTAATAATAAAGAGACAAATGCTCGAGAGATAGCTGGCTGCATCGCGCTAAAAGAAGCTATTAATACGGATTATATAGTAGTAGCTACGAATAATATACCGCGAAGTCCGGAAGACTTACGGCCCTCCGCAAGCTCCGGGGTAGGTAAGTTTAGCTTGCGGCCGGGCTGAAGCGCTACGCCTTCTTCACATCCTTTTAAAGCGCATTTCTTCCGTATGGGAAATTGATGTAGCGTGAATGCGGAAGGCAGCCTTGCACTACGACCGGGGCGAAGCGAGGTCCCGTGGCCCCGGAACTTGCGGAGGGCCGCCAGGGATCAGACCTCGTCTGTTACGTACTGCACTTACAGTACGGAGGTGCCTGGGGGTAAATTATGGCAGATGGCCTTCAGCGACAAGAGTTCCCCCCGCATCAATCGCGTCCAAAATTTATATAAGAAATACGCTCAATCCAAGATAACAACAATGACTATTGCTGATCTTTGGACGAGTTCGAAAGCGAAGTTCACTAAATATTAGGTGTATTACCATAGTAAATTTCAGGATGGAAGAGAGCCCCTCTTGATTTTTTTCTGCCGATGATTCTGCCGACGGCGGTCTGCCATAATCTACCCCCGGCACCTCCGTACTGTAAGCCATGTCCACAGCGTGCGCCCTACCCTGAATCCCTGCTTCTGCAGAATAACCCCAGCGCTAAGTAGGAAGTGGAAGTGGTGGAAGTTGGAGACAACCTCGTCAGCCGAATCTCGATACGGAGTAGGCATCCCATTCCGCGCACACGGACCTGCGACTACGGTACCTGAGCCGAGAGTTTGACCTTTCTCGACGGTACTACTGTACTACTTACTGTAGTAGTACGGTAGTAGTAGTACAACTCCTCACGACCCCCTGAGATACCGGTACCGGCACTCCAGCTGCCACCTCAAATATACTTAGAGTTCGTCAACCAACAAAAACTCTCTCCGTACGTAGCACCGGCACCTGGTCGGCATGATGCTGATTTCCCGTACCCCTCCCGGGCTTTTCTCACCTACTACCGGTACAGTACGTACGTACCGGCAGTACTATAAGTCCAGCGGTAGGCACTCCGTAATTATTCTCTGCTCAGATGCTTTCCGAAGTGCGATAACCGACCGACGCGTGCACGCCGCGCCAAACTTTGGGGGAAGCTTTTTCTTCGTACCGTACTTACAGTAGGTACCACAACGATAAAACATCAGCTACAGCATGTGTTATCTTCAGGCCACCTATTCTGAATGACCTACGGTATTCAAGTCTGTTCGAGTCTGACTCCGAGTGCTAAGTACGACTTCGTGTTCAAAGTCAAAGTCAAATCCTGACTCGAGGGTCTAACTTCGACTCGCTCAGCACTGATTCTCGCAGATATCGACATTTTCGCTCACAAGAGCCGAGAGACGTGAGGCGTCAAAGAAGCTGAAAAGAACCATTCTGGGAATCCAGCCGACCTCGCTTAGAAGCAGGCCTTGCGAAAGTAAACAATGGTAGATAAGTGCAAGCAGGACCCGAAAAAGAGTGATACCATCCATTATTACAATAAAAGAGAGATCTTATATTTATTTCACATACAAGACACACCTATCTGCCCAACCTAAGCCTTCCCCTGCGAACTCGTCTCATCTACTACCAACCCTTTCCTCTTCTCCATCTCCCTCCTCTGCTTTTGCTCAGCCGCAAACCTGAACAACCCCGCCGCCGTAATACCCGCCGCATACCCCCCAAGATGCCCCCAGTGATCTATCGAGACGACGTTTTGCTTCTTCCACAAAAACAGGACATCAGTACCAATCATCAAGCACAAGAGCGCTAGCGACGAGATCGACGGCCAGTTTTCAGGGGGAAAGACACCAAAGAGTTTCATCTTCTCTTTGCTGTCAGACAGCAGATACGTAGCCATGACTCCGGCGACAGCGCATGAGGCTCCAACAGACGAGGAAGCGAAGTTGTTGCGAATTACCCATGACGAAAGTGAGATGAAGCCGCCGAAAACGCCACATATTAAATACACGGCGAGGAAGTTGCCGCGACCAATTTCGTCGTGGAGACGAGTCCCGAAGATCCACAGGAAGATCATGTTTGAGGCGAAATGGGTTACTGTTTGGTGCGAGAAGATGGCGCCGATCAAGGCGATTGCTCGCGGATATCCGGGAACCATGATGAAGAACTTGTTGAGGCCGCGGAAGGCAGGCGGGAAATGCCAGGCGCCGAGAACGATGGCGTTGGCGAGAATGATGGCGATGATCGTTGCGGCCGAAGGTGGCATGTCGGGCCACATGCGCCATTCGGCTCTGGGGGGCGTGTAGACGTAGGCGAAGAGGGAGGATCCTAGAATGACGGCGAGGGTCAGGAGGCCTGAAGGCCAGAGTCGCTGGAAAATACTCATATCCGGAGGCTTTTCTGGCAATACCTTGGCTCTTTCAAGATAGTACTTCAATCGTGGGTTCTCGCCTGGTCTTCGTAGCTCGACTCGAGACCTTGGCTGGGTCTTCTGCAAAGTCCCGGTATTCTGTCTGATCTCGTCCGCTTGGCTCATCTTCTTTTTTTCCTCCGCCTCTTTCTCATCAAGCTTCTTCTCTTTGTGCTTACGTACCCGGTCAAAAACACTGTCTCCATAGACATTATCTCGTGTCCCCGAATTCGGCTTATAGAGTCCAATCCTCTCAGCATCAGAAACTATCTCCGCTTCCATCTCGGCCAACTCCTTCTCGGCCCTCTGACCCGCACACTCAATCTCGTCCACAGACACGTTCTTCCTCAGCCAGGCCAATCCGAGACGGCGAGCTTCCGCCTCGTAGGCAGTATACTTCACCACCTGTGGATCTCCCAATGTCCCTGCTACCCTCCGGCCGTGCAGCACCCGTAGCATGCGGTTTGCAGTGTTGGCATCGATGATCTTTCCAAAGATAGAAATGGTCTCTTCCTTCGTTAGAGGAGTTCTTCTGTAATCAAGCCCTTCCTCATCCCGATAATCCTCGGGCAGATCCTCGAATTTCCTGATGATTCTGCGGGAGGCGAATGTCCTGATGCCCGCCGAGAGCTTGCATTTCGCACTCGAATATTTCCATATCCTGACCGGCTGGCCTATTGACACAACATCTTTCCGATGAATTGGAAACGAGGATACCGAGTATGGCCGGATAAAGCGTTGTGCGAGCCTCGCCGCGAGGCTGTCTGTTTTACTGCATGATTGCAAAAGGGTCCTGGGATTCAAGCACGAGAACCGTGGAGCTGCTGGCCATAGGCTGTTCATTTTCCTCCTCTAACTCATCGCATCAGGCATGATACATCCAATTGAAGTGCACCCTTAGGTCGAGGCCGGAGTCGAGGATTTTGTTACAGTGCCCTCGTATACCGAACACCTGCATGCACGTTCAGGTTTAGAAATGCACAGACCACCATGACGCTTCGATCCCGCGAGGTCGGTCGCGTCTCCCCTCACTGCTGTGCAACACTTTCCCAAATTTCCTCATACAGCGTCCTCGACTCCCTCTTCTCCTACAACATCTCAGAAACCCAACCCAAGAAACAACGCAAACAAACAAAAGAATGTCCTCAGAAGCAGCGCCTATATCGGCCGCTCGTTTCGCTTCCGCCCTTTGTGATCTCCCACTCTCAACCCTCCACCTCAAAGCAGTGGAACTGTACGTCCAGACAATCCCACACACACATAACCCATGAACACTGACGCCCCTACGCAGCCGCAATTCCATAGCCCACCTCGACTACTCCAATGAGCAGCTCCTCCCTTTTGCAACCGGCGCCGACGCCTCCACGCACGGCGTCCCAGACCCGGACTGCGCGGATGCGATACGGGAGAACGAGGTAGTGATCGCGCGGCAGACGGAGCGGATTGCGCTTTTGAGGGCGGAGGTCGAGGGGAGAGGTTGTAGTTGGGCTGAGTTTCAGGATGCGGAGGGGCTGAAGCCGGAGCGCGAGGGAGAGGGGGGTGGGGATAGGGAGAGAGCGGTTAATGGGACGGGAGGGGAGGGGAGGAGTAGTGCGTGGACAGATGGGACATTTCAGACTGGACGGATCGTGAATGGGGAGGTTGAGATGGATGGTGATGCCGAGAATGGTACAGGAGCTGGGGATGGAGACGCAAGTGCTGGGAGAGTGACGAACGGAGTTAATGGGACGGGCAGTGCTGCTGCTGGTGGGAGGCTAGATGACGAGGCGCTGCGGAGGGCTATGGAGGAGAGGATGGGGGCTCTGGCTGAGGAGGGAGATGGTGAAGGGGGAATGCATCTGTGAGATTTTTGAAAAGAATGCGGTTTCTAGTTCAAGGGGATGGGGCAGGCCGGAGGGGCAAACCAAGCATGGGCGCGGCGTTTGATAGATACCAGGAAATGAAAACTTGTAGTCTTGTACGGAAGCGAAAAAAAAAGACAACACATAACCAAATTTCAAATTCAGATCTGGAACTTTGTTATCTTCTCCTCTCTTCATTCTCAAATTGTACTATTTTGCTACTGCAATCTCCTGCACTCAAACCCATTCGTTCCATTCATTTTCGTCTAAAGAGCCCGGAATGCTATATGCATCAAAGAGCTGACCCAATCCACGTAAAACTCAACCTGCACCTACGCCAACGACAAGGCATGATACCCAGACGCCACCAATGCTATGCCCCAGGAACCCTAACCCCCTACGCTAAGAACAAGACACAGAAAGACTGACGAAATAGGAAAACAAAATTTTGTGAGTGCCTGTCGCTCATGCCTGATTGGGGATCAAGTTTTCAGGCTCCGTGTCCTCGAAAGTTGCACGCCTAAGTGGCAGGGCATCGGCGATTTTGACTCCTGCTTTTGGAATCGATACGGGCATGGCGTTTGCACTGGCCGAAATCGAAAGCAGTTGTGATGATGATGGCGCTCTGGAGTTAATGGCGGGGGGGGACAGCTCCCGGAGCGGTAGCACGTCGTCTTGTTGCCTAGGACCCTGAGCCATGGTCAAAGAGCTCATGATGGTTGTGAGTGCTGGTCTCGCTGATGTTTCTCTCATTTCCGGCATCGACACCTGGGGAGGTGCCGAGGGCACAGGGACATGCTCGATTACGTCTCGAGAGCTCTGCTTGGGAGACGAAACCGAGATGGGTGCTGGTTTTGCTCTCCTCTTCTTCGTGACAGCGTCAGACGATTCTGAAGATTCTAGAGAGATACTCCTACTCCTTCCGGGCGGTGATGCCCTGACCTGCCTAGGGTTCTGTGGTTTGGATCTCGACTCGGCTCTCGAACGAGCTTCCGCGTACGGTAGCTCGCCTCGTTTTAACTTTGCATCAACTAGTCGTTCTGTGACCCGACGGCTCAAAGGCTGGTCATCATTACCTCTTCTACTACTGCCGTTACTTCCAGCTCGGTTTATAACCCTCTCTTTGCCTTCCATAACCTTCGCCGCGGGCGGTGGTTGTAACATCCATCTCGTTTCGTCCTTGCTGGCGGGCGCCGTACTGACTACAGGCGGGTGTAGCTCGTTGACCGGTGGGTTCCTAGCCATTGTATATGGATTCGGGCTCTCTTCTTCCCTCGAAAGACCACTTTTACTTAAACGCCCCTCTAATAAACGGCCGGCTGACGAACCTGCTTTCGCGATTGCATCCATTATCCTCTGCCCCGGCCCCGGTATGTCATGGCCCCATAGCGCCTCATCCTCTCTCTGATATCGTGTCCGGTTCCAGCCATCCCCTGATATTCGTGAGCCCTCTGTAAATGCCGTAGGACTACTCGGTGTCTCGGAGCACATCGCAGTACTTCCAGCATAACTGCTTCCAGCTCCCGCGGTGTTTAGAGCTCGTTGACTTCCGTTCTTGCTTCCCCCTTTTTTCCGAGGCGGACCAGGCCCCATCATAATCTCCTCGGTCCAGTAGGGATTCGTAGAGAACGGCGACGGGTGCCGGTATAGCCCGGGCTGCTCCATCTCCAGTTGATGTTTCTCTGCCCGCTCGCGCCTTGCTTGTTGTTTCGCTTTCCGTCGATGGCTAATCTTAGCACAGGTACCGCAGGAGAGAATGTAGAATGCGACGGATTGGATTGCGACATCGAGCGACATGTTGAATTGGACGAGGAAACAAAGTGTGAAGGTGATTCGGTGGGTGCTCAACGGCCTCCTGAGGTTATGAATGCATGAGGAGGGTCTATGTCGACTGTTCGCGAGTCGTCGACAATGTGCCGTTACGGGCGGGTGTTTCGACAGGCGGTGACAATCCGTGACCGTGAACTGCTCGGGATTCCCTTTGCTTGTCTTACGACCCGGGGTGATCCAAGAATTTGAGATGATTTCGCTGTCTGCTTCGGGCGACAGCGATCGCGAAATCCCACGGTTGGAGTTACTGATTCGTTAGTACTGCGAAGTGGATCTGCGATGATGTGGCACAATGCAATAGGGGCCGAAGAATATATCGGGAATTTGAAGGTCGGTGGCAGGATTCGGGGTTGAACGTCTTTGTTAGTTGTCTCGTGTTGGAATTGAAACTTGACAGTTGATGTTCCGTATTGATATTTACTACCAGAGTAGCGACTCCTGTTGAAAGATAGACAATGGGAGATGTCCCTGATGTATGGCTAGAAAAAGATGTTAATAGTAATGCCGTCGACTCTATGGGTATTCAATACGCAGTGAGACCGTCGAGGTTGGGGAGGGGGGGGGAGAGGGGGAAAGTGGTAAGAGAGATCATATGTATATATATATAAAGGTATATATATGTAATATATATACTTATGTATATATAGTATTTTCGTAATGTCACTTACTCCGCAATGCTCCTGAAGGATGTTCGTACTTTTGTTTCAGGGTTCACCGCTCCACTCCGGCTAGGACAAGGAATGTACGACGATCATAGGAGAAGTAGTACGGTACGGTAGTACTACAGTACCAAGTAAGCCTCCGTACTTAGTAGCGGAGCTGCGGGACAGTGCTGCGAAGAGAAGCATTTTAACCAAACTCAGTCTCTCCACCTCAGTTTGCGATGGTTTTCTAAAGAGTCTTTTCCCAACTCGAACGTCGGCTGTGCCACAACCCCAACCTTAACTTAATCCGCAAGAGCCATTGTAAGTACCGGTATATGTACGTAGTATGTGGTCGATGACACTGCTGTTTATCCAGCTTGCCGCCGTTCCCGGCCTACTTGAAGTTGATGCAGAGCAGCGTCCATCCATGCTCGATGCAAGCTGGTGTGGATCATCAGTGATCATGGCTTACCTGTCTTAGGCGGGGGTGGGGTTCCTCTCCATTATCTGAAGAAGGGCCCAGAGAGGCAGGCCGTACTTGAGGGTGTTCATAGTCAGTACAGCTGCACATCACAATCACAAGGGGTGTATATATAGATAGATAGATGGATACTACAGCTACTCAAAGAGGCACAGGCGAGTATATTTTGATGTGTTCTGCGAGTCCCGGCCCTAGCTTGATGCCTAGGGTCTGTCTGATGTACAAGATTTGGCTCGAGACAACCATCTCGGAACGTAAAAAGCTCAGATCGTGGCAGTTTTGGGAAGCCCCTTCTAGAAGTTCAGACCAGTGACCACAAACGCCTTGCCATCAAAGAGCAGAAGATTTCTGAAATACACGTGGCCTATGCGAGATGCCCCTAAAACCCAAGAGCCAGTATGCAAGATCGCCAAGATGTACAACTAAAAGGAAAAAGCTGCCGTGAAACGATGAAAGGCAGGATCTGAGCACCTAGGGATCCGATCGTGACGCCAAATATCGTATCAACATGTAAGGATAGGGCTGGAGTGCAGTGCTGTGCGGTGCTGTTAAGTAGATGAAGCGGGCTTCCCAGCGTCGACAGAGAGACGGGCAACCTTGCCGTACCCTGCCCTGCGGGCTCGAAGCTCTTGTGGCACCCTACGCGACCTCCCATTCTGAATCTTGGATCTCCTCCTCGTGCTCATGCACCTTGCCCTTCTCAACGTAAGTGACATTCTGAGACCACTTCTGGCCTGGGCCGGTGGGCTGGATGACGGCGGGGACGCCATAGTCCCCAGAGTCGTCGTTGGAGCTGGAGGCGGTATCCTGCTTGACGGCCTTGGTCTCGTTTTGCTCGCCATTAAAGGCCGCCTTGGACTTCTTCTTCTTTGAGGTCTTGACCTGCTCCCACAAGCCCGAATCCTCGGTCGCAACCCGAATCTGCTCCTCCTCCGGAATCTTGGACAGCTCATCTGCCAATTTACTACCAGCGATCTCACTCTCTGAGTAGATCTCCTCAACCGGCTTTGCAGTAACGTGGCCGCTAGGTGCATCGTAGGTGTCAAGGTTCTCGACCTTACTGGGCGTTCCATTGGTGGCCTGAACAGCAGGGGCAGCAGTCCATGCCGACGAGGGAGGTGCCTGGGAAGCCATGAAAGCAGATCCGTCCTTTGCAGCACGACCCTCGGCCTCTCGGACAACACGACGGTGATTTTCAAGTTGGATCTTCCGGATCTTCTCCTCCTCTGCCAGGGCGAGCTTCTTCTCTTCGGCCTTCTGTCTATTTTGTCGCTGCTTCTTGGTTTCCTTGACTTCAGCAGATGGTGCCTTCGCCTTCTTTAGTGGAGCGGGCTTGGTCGGGGCTGTGATCTTCAAGACTGACGGGCCGGCGGCAGACTTCTCGAGCATATCAGAGACATCGCCATTGACAGCAGGTGCATTAGCGGCAGCCATTTCTGGAGAATCGATCGGAGACTCGTCGTCGTCAGCATCACCTCCGGCGGTCGAAGTGCCGTTGTCGGAAGGAAGCTCCATGGCTCCCTTTTCTTGGGCCTTGGTCTGCTTGACGGACTTGGTGCGAGCCGAATTTTGAGACTTGGGAGCATCAACAACACCACGCTTTGCGTTTGCCATTTGCTGAGCAAACTTTCTATCCTCATCCTTCTCACTGCGTTCCTTCTTTGCGGAAGCAGGGGCACTGACCAGTGGCTCCTCCTGAGCCGGCTTGATTGGTTGGGCCTTTCTCTTCTGAGTTGGTTTCCCATCGTCTCCGCCACTCAGAGTACCATCTTTCTTGTTCTTCTTCGACTTGGTATCCTTTCGTGGCTCGGCCTTGGTGGTTTGTTTGCGGAGAGTCTTCTGCTTGCGTTGTTTGGTTACCCAGTAATAGCCACCAGCGACGGCAAAAACCACCGCCCAACCACCAAAAGTTGTTGCAGTAGGCATAGTGAGGATCGGTGGGATTGTCTGGAGCCGGACGCGTGTATAGAGCTCACCGAGTGATTCCGAAGGTAGTTGGGGGGGGATTGCCGTCCACAGTTGAATTGGTTGTCCAAGCAGGGAGCTGGACGTCTTACTATGTTGACAGAATGTTGAGTAAAAGAAAATTGTGGTAGGATAGGAGGAGATTACCGGGATGCTCCTTGGTGGAAGTTTGTCTACCTAGGGACGAAGTAGATTGAATTAAAGAGGGAGGGAGAGTTTGCAAAGAGGAGAAGAATGGTACCGTTACCCACAAGGCCAATCTCGAATGGAAGACGAGACGTGTCGATATCGAGGTTGCCGCTGAAGTTCGGGACAGTTTGTCCGCAGGGGTGGTGGTAGCGTGGGTGCGCTGATTGGATTGGTAACGGTGTAGGGAGTTGATATTGACAGGGGGAGTTGTCGAGAGTACGGAGGGGAGCAGACTTGGCCTTATGTTTGATGAGAAGGTTGGAGATGCAGCAGATGGGGATTGAGAAATGGAGACGGAGTGTAGATGGAGACGGAGACGGAAATGGAGATGGAGAGGGAGAGGGCGATGGAAATGGACATGGACATGGACATGGACATGGACATGGAGATGCACATGGACCCAAGGGCGTCGGCTGTTTTTTTACCGTTCAAAGACAAATGGACCCAAGTCAGTGGGCTAAGGGCCGAATATCGGCTTTTCGCCACATTACCCCCGAAGAAGTGGAAAAAGGGGATCGATTAAAGCGTCATGAGGCCATAAGGCAGAAACAGGCACACATGCATTAGATAGCCACTCGGACGCCGAACCTCCGACGGAGCTAATCTCAATCGGCTATAGCCTATATCATTCCCGTATTAACTACTCCGTAAACGATTGACTATTAAACGCGCTCACAAGATCGGCTAAGTCGCTAAACTCCGATATTATGAAAATTCGAGTTCGAATCGAATTTAAAGCTTCGCTCGTAATTGATTTGATTCGAATATCACGTGCGAAGCTCGTTAAGCGGCCGCTAGCTTCGCTTTTATTCTTTTAACCAAGGCCTGCTTGCTAGCACCGTATAGTACTATCCCCCCCTATGAATAAATGTCGGACCCAGTTTAAGCCCATAAATCATAAAGCGGTGGTTTCTTAATAGCTCAAAGCCCTGCTTACTCCACTGTATAGGCTAAATACCGGCTCAAAGATAATTTTCAAAGCTGAATCCTTATAAGTTGATTGGTTTAAGCTCTGGTAAGATTCCTTGCGAAATTATACTTTCGACATTTA